GCAGCGTATACTTCAGATTTCGTCCCTTCAGATTACTATACTTTTAGATCTTTGCAACATTACATGACTGATTTACACTTCACATCTATTGAAGATATTAAAAAAAGTATCGTTGAGTTTATCGATTTAAAACAACAATCTTTTTCTCGAAATGGAATTCGACAGTTGCCTGAAAGATGGCAGAAATCTGTAGAAAGTGAGGGGAATTACTTTGAAGATTAGGTAACTACTTGTTTTTTTATAAATAAACAAAATTTTGTAAAAAGGGCAAAAAATTAAACGCACCTAATATAATGTGTTATTAAAACGAATTTAACGTACTATCAGAAATGTTACTTTTATTAATATTTAATATTAAATTTGACAATGACCACGTGTATTCCAGTAAATCTTGCTATACAATCTGTCACCTTATTCTGTATGTTGGTACAACATCCTGTACAAGACTACAGATTTATGAGAATTTCTTCCATATTCTCCAAATATCACTAGTGTATCAACTTTTTTTGAAATAGAATAACGATTCATTGCAGTAATTGAAACAATGATTAATATTTACTTTTGAAAAAGCTTGGAGAATACTAATAATTACTCAAGGTAATAGATATGTGTTTAAAATATGAAAGTAGTTCTCAGACAAATTTCAGTGTTTATGTTTACATTTTTAATCAGGATTTATGAATATTTTACTTATAAGTTCTGATTGAAAATGTCAACATACTTACTTAAAGTATAACTTATAAGTTTTTTGTATTATTAATAATTTCGGAGAAAATTGACTAGATTGATTAAAATAAAACACTTGGTACACAGGGTGTCCCAGAACAATTTTACAGAGCTTGTGGGGGCATAGAATCGGTTAAGATCCGTACCGTTTTATGATATTCACGATAATTATCGAGTTATTAATAACAAAAATCCGAAATGTGGATGCGCACCGATAAATGATTGGAGAAGCGTCGCAGTCGCTCGGACCATAGTGCGTCCCAGTTGATCTAGCAATTACTGCTGGTGCGCGGCGAGGGGAAGACCAACACGTCGCTATTCGTGTTTTATTTCGTCGCTCTTATGTCCTACGCTCTTGCCGCACGCCGCCAATAATTGCTGGATCGACTGAGCCGCGCTGTGGCCCGAGCAGCTACGATGTTTCTCTAATCATCTATCTCGGCGCGCGCTCATTCGTCAGATTTCTGTAATTAGTAACTCGATAACTATTGCGAATATCGCAAAATGATATAGGACATTTATGTTTAGAATGTATAGGATGTTTGTTTAATTCGGGCTATGTCTCTACGAGCTTTGTAAAAGTTGTTCTGGAATACTCTGTATTATAGTATATAGAGTAGGCCATTTTAATTTACGCACTGAAATCTCTCAAGATCCATAAGTTTAAGACAAAAATGTTTCAAACAATAGTTGTATGGTTTCGAGAAGGCCATAAGAAGGTACCATTGGTTTGACCTTGAAGAGTTATTTGAAGGTCACGTTTAATTTTTTAAATGGAACATTATTTTTTATTGTATATTTTGGTAGCTGACTTCGAGAGCTTTCCAAAACACTATAATCAAATGTTTTTTCGTGAGGTACTTTTCGAGTTATAAAGCTTCAAAGCAGTATTTTGACCTTAAAATACGATATCTTGTATGTTGTCATGTTATGGGGTCAAGTTGACTCTTAGGGATCATTCCAAAGTCAAATCAACTTTTCACCCAAATCTCTGTAGTTATGCATGTTATGCATAAAAAATTCGAATTATCCTACTTTTAGCGCTACCCAGGAACAACGACGTGGATGCAGTAGAATTCTGTTCCCTTTAGGGTGCTTGATTAACGTGAGTCCCCTTGCCTCTCACGAGTTGTCAGAAACATTCTTACAACAAATGTTCAAAAACGTTTCCGTTTTCTTGAATACCTAATTGTACCCTTCGATGAAAATGTTCGACAGTTTTCAATAATACAGCTCGTGGTATGTTTCTGCAAGCAGTTGTAATTCTTCCTACCATGTCTTCTTTAGTGGTTGGTGCTCGTTCGTTAATCAAGCACCCCGAATCGTGAGAGGCAAGGGGACTCACGTTAATCAAGTATCCCAAAGGGAACAGAATTCAATTGCGTCCACGTCGTTGTTCCTGGGTAGCGCTAAAAGTAGGATAATTCGAATTCTTTTATGCATGACATGCATAACTACAGAGATTTGGGTAAAAAGTTGATTTGACTTTGAAATGATCCCTAAGAGTCAACTTAACCTCATAACATGACAACATACAAGATATCGTATTTTAAAGTCAAAATACTGCTTTGAAACTTTATAACTCGAAAAGTACCTCACGAGAAAACATTTGATTATAGCGTTTTGGAAAGCTTTCGAAGTCAGCTACAAAAATATGCAATAAAAACCAGTGTTCCATTTAAAAAATTAAACGTGACCTTCAAATAACTCTTCAAGGTCAAACCAATGGTACCTTCTTATGGCCCTCTCGAAACCATACGACTATTGTCTGAAACATTTTTGTCTTAAACTTATGGATTTTGAGAGATTTCAGTGATTAAAATGTAGATTAAAATGGCCTACCCTGTATATACTTGATAACACAACATGATTCAATTGATTGATTATGTTTCGAGCTTCGATTATTCTGTCAGAGTTATTATTGTGAATTCGCTTCGGCTAAAGCAACTAATTTCCTCCTTGTTTCTTCCTTCAACATGCAGATGTATCCACTACAAAGAAAATTGTTACATAAATAAGTTGAAATATATGTTTGTGCGTCATATATTTTTAGTTGACGTGCGTGATTAGTCACGAGTATACGTAACAAAGTTGTTGCATCATAACATCTTGACGGGTTTTCCTTCATGAAATAGCATCAATGTAATGGTATAAATATCAAGATGTTCCTGTTCGTCATTATCGATACATATGTGTGATTCCACATATATTTCAGCTTAACAAGAAACCATGCTCTCTTCTGAAGTTGTTGTGCAACAACACATGTATAGAGGATATTTTTTCAAATACCTTCTAATATATTTTACGAGTTAATTCTTGACATTTTATTTATGAATACATAATCTCAAACATCTTATTTTATACACAGATAAGTAGAAGATACTAAAAAATTCTATAAAATTATCATTTTTCTCTTAATAGTTCTCGAATAAGAGTAATTTAATATTAAAAATAATATAAAATAATATTAAATAAAAAATTTTTAAATAAAAAATTTATTTTCTAAATTTAAGCTAAATAATAAGTAGGATATTCCTATTATTTTTTATTTTTAATCGATGTTTTGTGAAAAGTTAATGGAAAGTTGAAACAGAATCTAGATCAGAGGTGGAGACGATCTGCACATTTCGGGTGAAATTCAAGAGATGACACCTACTATCCCCTTGCCACCGCTCCGCGTTCAGCGATCGAGGCGACGATCGCGGTGTATTCAGGTCCGTCGCTGTAAGAAATCAGCTGAAGCGCACCTCGCGTTATATTATCATTAAAATTTTTTCCTCGTTTAATAATCACTAAAAAATATACAGGGTGAGGAAGAAATACCGGGACCCCAAAATATATAAATATATTGAAAAATATAATTTTTATGAAAAAATATTTCAGATAATAGTAATACATAATATTATAAAAAAAAAGAACTTGGCACTGCGAGGACTCGAACACTCCTTGAACGTAGACGACAAAATACTAGCGCGCGCCTTAGCTATCGCGCTTCACGCTTATTGATTCCAAGTTACTACACTTAACATGTAACTGTTTCTTTAATTGAAAATTTCTCGCAAACGAAGGCCCATGCACGCAAACCCTTTTAGGATTTTTATGTACTCAACCTCCCCATTCGAATGGAATATGACTCATTCAATTATCGATTTTACATGTCTTGCCATCTACTTGTGAGTAATATTGAAATACTGAGAATGCGACAGTGGTTATTATGATGAATTTTAATTATATTGTTACGCGCAACCGCTACGCGCGTACCGGGTTCGCGAAATGAACTTAGACAAAACTTTTAAAAAAAGAAAGAACTTTCCTTTACTACTATTATACAGGATGTCTGGTAATTAGCTGTCAACCCGAAGTGTGAAGGTAGATTGAGTTAAAACAAACATAATCCCATACCGTTTTGTGAGATTTGCAATAATTATCGAGTTATTAATTACAAAAATTTGACGAATGAGCGCGCGCTAAGATGGATGATTGGAAAAGCGTCGCAGCCTCTCGGATTACAACGCGGCCCAGTCGACCCAGCAATTGTTGGTAGTGTGCGGCGAGACGTATGTGCGGCGAGATAAAATAACGAATAGCGGCGCATTGTCCTTCCTTTCGCCGCGCACCGGCAACAGTTGCTGAATCGACTGGACCGCGCTGTGGCCTAGCAGCTGCAACGCTTCTCCAATCATCCATGTCAGCGCGCTCCCACTCCTTAGATTTCTGTCATTAATAACTCGATAATTATTGCGAATTTCGCAAAACGCTATGGGACTTTCATGTTTATCTTAACTCAACCTACCTTCACATTTCGGGTTGGCAGCTAATTATACAGAACACCCTGTATAGAGACTCTCTCTCTTATTTACAAGTTTCTGTCGTACTATAAAGAATAAAAGATAAGAGAATATCGTTCGCTACACGGCTGCCCGTGACGTTGGCTCGTGTGCGACTCCATCAGTTATTATTTTACTCGTTGCCCAGGAAGATCACTTTTCTATCTCGTGGACCGATATCGATTTTCCGAAACTCAGCTGATCGGATTATCTCAGCTGTTCAGCAATTTAAAACACGGGCGACACCACATACCGTGGTGTATAACAATATAATACATTGTTATGCTAAAATAATAAATGAGCAAGAAAATGTCATACTCTTTATTTTAGCTTATCAAATCGATCGTACGTAAATATACTTGAATTTTTTGTGACGTTAATAATAAAATTAAGAATACTGAATTATGGATTTGTGCTATTAAAACTTGTTTTCTTTTATTATTGTAGTACAACGAGGCCTTTTGACACTTTGCCTAATAACATCAACGATGGCCGTGCCGACTCCTAAACCTGTTTCCTATCAAACTGTGAATCAGGGGGTACAATTATTTTCCACCAACTTTGTTAAAGTAAGTGTAATAAAATTTAAATATTTCGAATTCCATCAGAATATTGTTTATTGAATATTGATTGTAATGCAATACATATTTTCTCATTTGTTGATACTTATCACATTAATATATCATATATGTATTATCAATAAAAATAATTACTGGAAATTACATGTTTTGTTAGACCACGATTTGTTTTAATAAAACATGAGTTAGATAATTTTTTTTTCGTACTAGTAACTTGATAATAATAAAATAATTGAATGTGAGATTATTAAATTTAATTTGATTTTAACTATTTTAACTATTTTAACAATATTAAGTCGTTCATTAAGTTCTGCGGTTTTTCTGTCCTAAATTGAAATACAAATCTATTGTACTTAAACATTTATTTAATCGAGAATGTATTGTTCATCTTAATCAACTGTGGCAACATTCTGAAAGGGACATAATGCCGCGTTCGTAGAAGTCGCGCAACTTCTGTGCGAGAAAGTCCTCCAAGTATGTTCGTATATCGTCCACTGAATCAAAGCGTTGCCCATCGAGATTGTTTTGGAGTAACCGGAATAGGTGATAATCCGACGGCGCAAGGTCTAAGGAGTACGGTGGGTACTGCATGACTTCTCAGCTAAAGCACTAGAATTTCTGCTTGGTTACCAAAGTAGTGTGTGGTTTATCGTTGTCGTTGTGAAAGATGACGCCCTTCCTGTTCATCAATGGCCACTTCTCCGCCATTGCCTGCTTCAATTTATCCAGCTGAGTGCAGTACGTCTTGGTGTCGATGGTCTGAACCGCGCGGAATCAGTTTGAAGTACAGGACGCCTTGTCAATCCCACCACATGCTCAGCATCACTTTCTTCGGATATAAATATGCTTTGCCGACTGATTGTGACGACTCACTTCGTACTACGACCACTGACCTCGGATGTTGTTGTACACCACCTATTTTTCGTCTCCCGTGACCACCCGTTTGAGGAAGGCCTCCAACTATTTCAGCAGGGATTCATAGATCATGACGCGGTCCAAAATGTTTCTTTTCGGTGAACTCATGAGAGATCTAAACATCCGCCTTCTTCGTCATTCCAAGTCGTTTTAATCGCTGCACAATAGTTATATGGGCGATGTCGAAGTACTTCGCGATCTTCTACATCGTCAAATGCCGGTCAACCTTGATTGCAGCCATGATTTGGTCGTCGTCAGTGATGGATGGACGACCGTAGCGGGCAGCATCGATGAGATTCATATCTCCAAAACGAAAGTGCGCAAACCAACGGTTTGCCAATGGCAAATGTCAGCGCTTATGGCCGAATCCTTGTACACGCCACATATCTCACGTTGTGTGTCTGTTTCTTTTACTCCTTTCCGGAAGAAAAACAGTAGTGTACCGAAAATGCACTTTTTAATCTTCCATTTTCAACGAATAATGCGCACACAAAACACGTCCAAATACAACAAAGTTTCTCGCGAAATGTCAAGCGTTATCTGACCTATCAAGGGGTATGCGGCAACCCGCGGTTCAGGCGACGCATGCTATCTTTTTCAATGGACAAACGCTATCTACCGGAAAAACCACAGAACTTAATAACAACCTAATAGAACGATCAAATTTATAGTAAATTGATATAATTACCTTGGAATTGTAAGGATATTTATGACGAATGATTTTTTAGACTATTGCGAAAGAGAAGGAAGGCAATTTGATATGTTCTCCTCTGAGTGCTAATGTCGCCTTGAGCATGGCTGCAACCGGCTCTGAAGGAGAAACTAAGAAACAGTTTAAGAATGTTCTTAAGCTTCCTGAAATGGAGGCACAGACTCTTGAAAGCTATCAGCATCTTATCAATAATCTGAATGTAATTATTAAATCATAAAATATTACAAAAAGTTTGGCCTTTAGATGGTAAACTGGTGAAAAAATTACAGCTATTTTTTTATAGGATGTCGAAAATGTTACGTTAAAACTCGCCAACAAAATATTCATTGCGAGTAATTTTTTGATAAAACCTGAATACAAGAATAGTCTCCAAACTTATTTCTATTCAGACATTCAGTCAGTGGACTTCAAACAAAACCAACAGGCTGCGAATACTATAAATGACTGGAGCAAAGAAAAAACTAACAATCGCATCGACAACATTGTTAAAGCAGGTATAGTTTATATTTTATATTTATATGATAATTTTGATAATTATACAGGGTGTCCGGTAATTAGCTGCCAATCCGAAGTGTGAAGGTAGATTGGGTTAAGACAAATATAAAAGTCCCGTACCATTTGCGAGATTTGCAATAATTATCGAGTTATTAGTGACAGAAATCTGAGAAGCTGGAGCGCGCTGACATAGATGATTGGAGAAGCATTGCAGCTGCTCGGCCACAGCGCGGCCCAGTCGATCCAGCAACTGTTGCCGGTGCGCGGCGAAGGGAAGAACAACGTGCCGCTATTCGTTGTTTTATCTCGCCGCACCTACGTCTTGCCACACACCGCCAACAATTGCTAGGTCGACTGGGCCGCGTTGTAACCCGAAAGGCTGCGACGCTTCTCCAATCATCCATCTCAACGTGCGTTCATTTGTCAGATTTCTGTAATTGATAACTCGATAAGTATTGCAAATCTCGCAAAACGGTAGGGGCTTTTATGTTTGTCTTAAACTAGTATACCTTTACACTTCGTCTTAGCAGCTAATTATCGGATACCCTGTATAAGATGTCTGACATAATCTATAGCACTTACGTATATGTTGATTAAGTTAAACATACGAATTCTATATCATTTTACAAATAATTTTACAAAACATTTTACAAACTATTAAATGTAAATTTTAAATTACATAAAATTTTTAATTATTAAAGAAATATTAGTAGTTCGCGTTTAATGCGATCAGCTATAATAACGACATCTATCGTTGTATATTCGTAAATTATATCCACAACTAAATGAGAAAGAACATTACTTTACATTTCACTTGCTTCAATTAGCTAGTGGTAAATAAGGGTTTAAGGAATCGCTTTGTATACTATTATACATCCAGTATTTTCAATTAATAATTTAAAATTTTATATAATTATTTGCTCAATAATAGAAAATTTTTGTATTCAATTTGACCTAATCTACAGATACACGAATGTTGTATCTTGCGCTAAATATTCTGTTCATAAAAGTATTATCTTTCTTTTTCTAAATTTTTTAGAGTAAAATTTTATTTGAAAATTAGAGTGCTAACTGAGTTCAGACTTAAATAGTTCTTTACTTATGTAAAATAAAGTTTTTACTCAAAATTATTAAATTAATATTTTCAACGTCAAATTGAAGAGTGTATATCTTATCGTCATAAAAATAGTTTCGTTCCAATTCATTAAAACATGTATTTATATTGAATGTCAAGAGGCACACCGTGCCTATATTACGCAAAACTTCGAGTTGAAACGAGGTGAGATATTCATATTTCAGCAATGGGTAAACCGATCGAAGTTTTTTCAATCTCAATCGATTCGGCCTTAAAAAGTAGGAAGAAAAGTGTCCTAGTATTTTTTGTGTACGTTGTCTTCAAGTGTATATATTTTAAGATAAAGTCCGAATCACGAAAAATTTCGATTTAGTAAGAAAGTAAGAAAGTAAGAAACGCTAGATCGTAGAGGAGAGGGGATTTGTTCATCTCGTTTTTTTGACACCAGAGGCGTTACTAGCGTGCTGAAGATGCAAAGAGCAGCGAATGCGAGTGAGCAAGCGATAGAGAGTAAGAGAGAGAAGAATATTGTTAGAATACAGGAAGTGAAAATGTGCGAGAGAGAAAGAGAGCGAGAGAGAGAGAGGGGGAGGGAGGGGGAGGAGAAGGAGGGAGGGGGAGGAGAAGGAGGGAGGGAGGGAGGAGAGAGAGAGAGGAGGGAAGAGCGGGAGAGAGAGGGAGAAAGAGCGGGAGAGAGAGAGCAGGAGAGCGAGCAGGAGAGAGAGCGGGAGAGAGAGCGGGAGCGGGAGAGGGAGATGGAAAGGGAGAGAGGGAGAGGGAGAGAGGGGGGCAGAAGCGAGAGAGGGAAAGAGTAAGGGGGAGCGGGAGAGAGAGGGAGAGGGAAGGAGAGCGGAAGACAGAGAACGGGATAGAGAGAGAGAGAGAGAGAGAGAGAGAGAGAGAGAGAGAGAGAGAGAGAGAGAGAGAGGGAGAGGGAGAGGGAGAGGGAGAGGGAGAGAGGGAGAGGGGGGGAGCGGGAGAGAGGAGAAGGGAGGGAAGGAAGAAGTGAGAGCGGAGAGAGAGAAAGAGAGGCATAAAAATGTGAGAATACTGTTGGTATGCGTCACAGTATGTTATGACGCACGTCATTTGATTCCCGGTCAGCTGATGCTGAGCAGACGATGTGATGATCTGTGCCATCGAAAAATCAATACCTGTGCTTATTGATTCGTTGTCCAGGGAGATCGCCCTTCAATTTTAAGGATCACTTGATACAATAGCGTTTATAACGTAAGTAGTGCAGGTATTTGAGATTTCTAAAAATATTAAGTATACAATAATCATATATACAGGGTGGGAGGTTATAAGTTGACAACCCGAAATGTGAAGGTAGATTGGGTTAAGACAAACGTAAAAGTCCCATACTGTTTTGCGAGATTCGCAATAATTAGCGAGTTATTAATGACAGAAATCTGAGGAGTGGGAGCGCACCGGCATAGATGACTGGAGAAGCGTTGCAGCTGCTTAGGCCGCAACGCGGCTCAGTTGATCCAGCAACTGTTGCCGGTACGCGGCGAAGGGAAAGACAATGCGCTGCTATTCGTTGTTTTATCTCGCCGGACCTACATCTCGCCGCACGCCGCCAACAGTTGCTCGGTCGAGTGGGCCGCGCTGTGGCCTGAGTAGCTGCAACGCTTCTCCAATCATCTATGTCGGCGCGCTCCCATTCTTCAGATTTCTGTCATTAATAACTCGATAATTATTGCGAATCTCGCAAAACGGTATGGGACTTTTATGTTTGTCTTAACCCAATCTACCTTCACATTTCGGGTTATCAACTTATAACCTCCCACCCTGCATATACAGGGTGTTTGATAGCTGATCATGCAGACGAAAGATGGAGATAGATTGGGTGTAGCCGAGAAGAAAAGTCATGTACCATAATGTCAAATTGGCAATAGTTATCGAGTTATTAATTAAAATATGTGAGCCAACGAGCGCGTAGAGAGCAGAGGGCGGCCGCAGTAAGTACGTAGACATTTGATACAGGCGGAGTCAGCGAGTGACGGTTAGCAAGCGCGCGCGGCGAAGGGCAACGTAAGCGACAAGAGGCGAGCAAGCGCGAACGATGAGGAGCGAGCGAGAGCTTTTTCTTTATAGCTCGCTCGCTCTTCGTCGCGCTCGTTCGCCTTTTGTCGCTTGCGCTCGCTCGCTCCTCGTCGTTCGTGCTCGCTCGCTCCTCGTCGCGCGCGTTCGTCTCTTGTTGTTTACGTTGCTCTTCGCCGCGCGCGCTCGCCTACTGTCACTCGCTGATTCCGCCTGTATCAAATGTCTACGTGCTTACTGCGGTCGCCCTCCGCTCTCTACGCGCTCGTTGGCTCACATGTTTTAATTAATAACTCGATAACTATTGGCAATTTGACATTATGGTACATAACTTTTCTTCTCGGCTACACCCAATCTATCTCCAACTTTCGTCTGCATGATCAGCTATCAAACACCCTGTATATTAGGTTTCTCAGTTGGCGCTACTGTTTTAATATATCACTTTTTTGTACAGTAGAATAGTGTTGTAGAGTTTTATTATAGTTATAATAAGTTTCACTTGTAAAAACTTATGTACACACACATATACCTTAAAAAAAATAATTTGAATTTGAAATCTCTAGAAATAACACAATACGTGTTGCGCCTGCATTTGGCGCCTTTTTTTACCTTTTTGTTTAAAAAGGTAAATTTTATAAATTTTACATGTAAAAACTTATGTTACGTATATTTTTTGTCGTAATATTTACTTGTAAATTATTTTCACCTAATTCGTCTAATTCGCCTATTACCTGCACCAGTTACGTTATAAATGCTATTGTATCAAGCGGTCCTTAAAATTGAAGAGCGATCTTCCTGGACGACGAATCAATAAGCACTGGTATTGATTTTTCGATGGCACAGTTCATCACATCGTCTGCTTAGCATCAGCTGACCGGCAATTAAATGACGTGCGTCATAACATACCGTGACGCATATCAACAGTATTCTCACATTTTTATGCCTCTCTCTCACCCCTCTCATTAGAATTTACTTTAATCTTGAATGGAATATGTTCCTTTTATAATTTTTATTAGCTATATTTTTATGTGTTGTTAGTATATATTTTAAGTAAATGCTCATTTGTTTTAAATGAGAATTTATTCTAAGAAATTTAATGTATTTCTCTAAACTCAGGAAAAAAATGACAGTTAAAAAATGAAATTATGAGATAAAATTATATGTAAATGATATATTATTATTAAATACATTACAATATTTGTATATTTAAATAATGTAGAATAAAAATCATTTTCGTTACAATTGACTAATTTTAAATAATGCTCACTGCAACTTTTATCTTTGATCAGCCGATCTAGATCCCTCTACTGCACTGGTGCTTGCAAACGCTGTATACTTTAAGGGAAAATGGGCCAAGGAGTTTGACCCGAAAAATACCAAAGACCGTCCGTTCCACGTTGACACCAATACTGTGAAGCAAGTTCCTACTATGTACAGAAAGGGCTATTATAAATTCGTTGAACTACCAGAACATAACGTTAAATGCATCGAAATACCATATGCGGTAATCATTTTTTTTATAAGTTATCTAAATTTCTTAAATCCGGAGAATTTTCTGATTTACTTATGCATTTACACTGTTACGTGACGTAACTCACCTTTGATCCTTAGAAACTTATACCTTTTCCGCATCCCTTCATAGACTTCATTGCGCATCAACCCTAACCAAACCTAATAAAACAGGAAAACTTTGAGATTTGTGTAAGAAATATTTTATAGAGACAAAATATTTCAAATTAAACCCTCGAATCTATAGATATAGATTAAGACTTTTATTCCGTTATGGCACTATGTATGGTTGTTGTCTGAACAAAAGCCGGAAGCTCTCTCTTTTTTTTGAGGGAACAAACACGCTCGCTCGTCCTATCCCCTCCATACGTCCACTCGCAGTGACAACGTTGGTCCAGGGCCCGCCATATAATTGTGGAGCCCACACCAACTTCAGGGCCGTAGTGATTTTCTTACATTTGCTTATTATCATATGTATCTAAACTGCCACACTATTCACCTTCGGATTATTGTGATACTTCCTCAAAACTCTATCCCTGGAATATTTTCACAGCACAGTTCCATGACCATTTTTGGATAACCATTTTATAAGATTTAGAGTTCTGATACAAGCCTCTGAATCCTACCCTCCCATCCGAACTAACTTGAAGAAAACCACGAACTGTCTTCAGTTCCGGACACATTCGCGATACATTTGCACAGATCGAAATTGCCTCTTGGTTCTACTATAAACATCTCTGTAGCGATATATTTTCTGTGAATAAGCTTCTCTTATAAGTATAAGTACTCCAACCGCTCGTTTATAAACTTGATTCCCTCATTATAACCCTCTATTTCCATTACGACGTGAATCTCGTATAACGTAATAACACACGTACACAAATATAGTAATCGCTTTTAATTGTCTTTTCTGATTTTCTATTCCTTTCTTCTTATATAAGTTTTGTATTTTGAATGTTTATTTATTGTTTATTATTATTGTTATTGCAGAATACACAGGTCAACATGGTAATTATTCTGCCCAACGAAATCGATGGTCTAGCCGCATTGACTAACAATCTCGATGTCATTACTGAGGTGTGCAATACGCGCCTCAGCGAAGCGTACGAACGTGAAGTTAAGCTGTACCTGCCCAAATTCAAGATCGAGTCAGAGCTAAATCTTAAAGATATATTGTCCGACAAGGTGCGACGTAGTGTTTCATAGACAGTCGACTATTATGCAGCGACAAGCATATGATGCAATAATAGATATTTTTTATTTCAGATGGGTCTTTCCGAACCTTTTTCCAACTCTGCGAACTTCCACGGCATCTCAGACGTACCTCTAAAAATCTCTAAAGTTGTACAGAAGGCTTTCATCGAAGTTAATGAGGAAGGTAGTGAAGCAGCTGCGGTAACTGGTAAGTTGTTTCGTTTGTTGTTTTCTTTGTTACAAACAAATATAGGTGAAATATTAACTAATGAAAATATGGTAAATCGTGGTAATCATGGTAACTTAAATATATTTGTTTTTTGTTTAAATTGATTCAATATTTTCATTATTTACAAATGAACATTCTTTATATTTTTCATTGTATTTTATCATATTTCATCTGTTATACTATAATAATTTGTTTTTATTATTTCTTAACTATTATTATTATAATATTGAGTTGACAACTAAGTTTGTGGATTGCATTGATAGATGGCGTTAGTCAAACCTATCGAAATGTCAAACCTACATTGTAGTTTGACTGCTTGGTACTTCAATTGGCATTCAATAAAAAAATTATATCGATCGGTTGTGTAATTCTTGTTTGGTGTCGGTTGAAAACTGGAAAAGCAAAATGAGCATTTTCATCATATTTTGCTTTCTTATCTCCACAAAGGAAAATGCCCGTTGCAAGCTCACAAAAAGTAATGTGCTATGTATGGTGACAAAGCCTTAAAAGAACGGCAGTATCAAAATTGGTTTGCTAAATTTCGTTCTAATGATTTTTCACTCAAAGATGAACAACGCTCTGGTTGTCCGGGTGAAGTTGACGACGACCAAATCAAAGCAGTAATCGATGCGGATCGTCATAGCATAACACGTGAGATTGCAGAGAAGCTCGATGTATCACATACATGCATTGAAAAGCGTTTAAAACAACTTGGCTATGTAAAAAAACTCGATTTATGGATTCCTCATGAACTTAAAGAAATCCACTTAACACAACGCATTGCCATTTGCGATTTGCTTATGAAATGTAACGAAAATAATCCATTTTTGAAATTATTGATAATTGGCGATGCAAAATGGGTTGTTTACAACAATATCAATCGAAAAAGATCGTGGAGCAAGCAAGATGAACCAGTGCAAACAACATCCAAAGTTGATATTCATTAAAAGAAAGTTATCAGTTTGGTGAGATTACAGAGGAATTGTTTACTTTGAAATTTTACCACGCAACCAAACGATCAATTCAGATGTATACATTCAACAATTAACCAAACTAAACAATACAATTCAAAAAAAGCGACCAGAATTGGCAAATCTAAAAGATATTGTGTTCCACCATGACAATGCAAAGCCACACATATTTTTAGTTACTCGGCAAAAATTATTGGAGCTTGGTTGGGATGTGTGGCCACCACCATATAGTCCTGACCTTGCACCACTAGATTATTATTTATTTCGTTCTTTGCAAAACTTTTTGAATGGTAAAAATTTCAATAATAATGATGATCGCATTGGTTCAGTTTGTTGCCGATAAAAATTAGAAGTTTTATGAACGCGGAATTATGATGCTGCCTGAAAGATGGCAAAAGGTCATTGATAAAAATGGACAATAGATTACTGCACAAAGTTATTTTGTTCCATGAAAAAATTATCTTTCATTTTCTCAAAAATATCCGCAATTACTTAGTTGCCAAACCAATAATTAATATAATGATATCATTGATATTTTATGAATAATTATATATAATAATTATTGTAAAAATAAATTTTTTTATTTATTACAAAAATAACGCAAGACAATTTAAGAGTATAATGTTTAAGTAAAAATAAATGTTTAAGTAAAAATAAAAATTGCCGAAATAGTAACGTTTCATAAAATAACAACACTTATCCATATTCTAACGATACTTTTATGCAAAGAAAAAGATAATATTTCACCTATATCTATATATTTTTGGAACATGACGATATTCTTTTTCGCTTCTGTGAAACTCTGGGAAATTATTTTAATAATAATTTGATTATGTCTATGTGTATGATGTAAAATTCTGAATTTTTATACCTGGAGTTTCTATAGCACGGATGTATATGACTTGTACGCTGACATAATTCGGAGCTTTATATAATAATGTCACATGCTTTCAGTGTCTACAGATTTGCTAATCTCTACGAACGTATCTTTCTCATATATTTCTTTCTCTTTTTTTCTTTCTCGTCACATGTTTGCTTGCTATTACTCTTTTTTCTTCGTCACGTGCTTACTTGCTATTACTTTTTTTTTCCCGTATGAGGTTATGTGTGTTCTCTTTTTGCTTTTATTACATATTATTTAACATTATACATGTTAATTTTACTGACATGCATGTTTTTTTCTTTTATTTATTATATATTATTTGTTATTGCACATATTGCATCTGGTTAATTATTGATAAATAATGATGATGGTTTATACTGTTATAATCGCATAAATATTTATGATTTACCATTCGAACTTCTATACGGGATGTCCCATAATGGACGACTTTCCTCTAGGAATGTGCAAGAGAGTGAAATTTTGAGTCGAAAGTTTCTGTTCTATTTTTTCCTCCGACCATTTATAACAAAGTTATTAATAAGGAAAATCGACGAATGGTGTGGCATGCGCGATTGTCGCGCAGTGCCGTACATGGATAGGAACTTCGCCTTGCGCTGGTGCTGAAATTTGTTTTTATCTGATTATATCAAATAGCTCATTTATCATCCATTTGATAAGCTAGTTGATTAATCATCATTATTAATAAACAAAAACATAAAAAATCGATTGAAAACATTTAACAATGGAAATTTTATTGCTCCAATGTGTGAGGAGAGAAGCAATCTAACGAGCTCACGCCTGCTTAGCCGCCGGTAGAGAACATTTTGAACTGGAGCTCTAAAAAATCGGTCCTTTTCAAGACTGAAACATTGGTCCTTTTTATTTAAAGTAACATTTAATAAAATTTCCATTTTTTAATTTGTTTTCAATCGATTTTTTGTTTTTGTTTACTGAAAATGATGATCAATCAATTAGCTCATCAAATGAATGATAAATGAGCTATTTGATATCATCAGATAAAAAAAAATCAGATAATTTCGACACCAGCATACAGCTGAGCCCCGCGCCAGTATAGAGTATTGCGCGACAGTTGCGCGTGGCACGTCATTCGTCGACTTTCCTCATTAATAACTTTGTTATTAATGATCGGAGGAAAAAATGAAAGAGGAATTTTCGACTCAGAATTTCACTTTTTTTCATACCCCCAGAGGAAAGTCGTCCATTATAGGACACCCTATAATGTAAAAAGTAAAAAGAAGATATCGTAGCTACAAAAAACTGATCATTTTTTAATGTTTCTGTATCGCAATTATTAATGAATGATATCAGGGAGTAAGGTTTTCACGCATGTGGCGGTTATGAAGCGTCATGTTATCCGATAAATCATGACAAAGTATATGTCTCAGTGGGATAAAAATATCTCCATTATGTGATAGAAATAAGAAAAGTTTAAATAAATAAGGTAAATATTTGTATTGAATAAAATATACATTATATCAGTAGATATCATAAATTACATCAATTTTTTGTGTTTATATTTGACTTATTATAGAAATAGCAACATTTGTTGCAAGAATTTTCAATAAATAAAATGTTAGTAGTTATAATATATTGACAGATTCGATTAAAATACAATGACAAATTTATAATCACGTAGAAATTATCGATATTGTTTAACAGATATAATATTGATCCAGTATCACTAACTAAAAATCGACAATCTTATTGCAATACTGATTCACAAACGAGGCCTTTATAAAATATAGTATTGAAGTATAGAAGTGTGCAATGTAGTTGCGAAACAAACCGAGCTCTGTCTTTGATAGAGGTTCAGCATTAAATAATATCGATAATATATATAACTGCAATAATCATTGAACTGTGCTGTGTGCTAGATGAATTATTTATTAGAACTGTATAATAACTGTCCTTTGTAAGAAAGTTAGTACTGGGTTGATCCATAAGTTCGTGTGGATTTTTGTCTAATTGATATTCGCATGGTGATATTGGGAAGATAGTTCCAGTCCTATACAGTCAGCTATACATATGTCATCTATATGTAATATATGCTTTGATAGCTGATATTTCAGATTATATTTTGTAATGTAAATAACAGTGTTTAAAGAAATATATTTTTCTTTATTGCGGCTTTAAAATGGAAAAGAGTAATAAGTTATTTTAAAGTATTATGCATTTTTATTTTCATAAAGGTAAGAATATAATGCAAACACATAAGAAGATATGTGCAGTGTATGAGGAGAGTATCATAAACGAAAGTATGTGCCAGAAGTAGTTTCCGAAATTTTGTAGTAGTAATGGAAGTAGATGTCTAAGATGTCCTTCTCACTTTAATAGATCATTCTAATACTAACCACGGATGTCGAATAATCACTTTAATTGATTCTGATCGATACATTATAACTCGGAACATCGCAGCAATGAAACTAGATCGTTTTCCAAATAAATGGTGACGAGAGATGAGAAGTAGATTTTTTATAATAACGTTAAACAAAAAAAACGATCATAAAGTAAGCGAAGTGAATTTCTATTGTCTGTTTCTAAACTTGATTTACATGCAAAAAAGCCATTCTTTCCATCTTGTAAGACTGGAGGGGAATTATATATCATGAGTTGCTATCCAACAACTAAACTATTAATTTAGACAAGTACTGCACTTAACTAAATATGCCGAAGACGGAATTTTACTCCTTCCGATATTACTCCTTCCGATTATCATCTATTTCGTTCATTACAAAGTCCTATCCTCTTGAAGATATAAACTATATTTTTTTAGATTAAAAATGTTTAGAATAAAAATTACTTGGAATATTTTTCGCCGGGAAAATACGAAAGTTTTACATGAGGAGGATTATGAAATTATGGAAAATACATGAAAAATGCTAAAAGATTGTCGGACAGAATGGCGCATATATTATTGATTAAAGTTTTTTATTATTATTAAATTATTGATTAAAGTGTGTGTTTTTAAGAAGAATAAAAACACATTTCAATTTTTTCTTAAAATTTGTACGAATTTATGGACTAACCCAATATTTTAAATTTTGATTTTTATATCGAGAATACATATTTCCTGAAATGAAAATTTTGATGTTTTTAATATTATG